AAATACATGGAAGAATTCATACTGGAGAGAAACCCTATGTATGTAGTTGGTGTGGTAAAGCTTTTATGTTTTTAAATAGTCACCGAAATCATGAAAAATCTCATACTGGGGAGAAATCCCATGTATGTAATCAATGTGGTAAATCCTTTGTATGTCGCAGTGATCTTAAAACACATGAAAGAATTCATACTGGAGAGAAACCCTATGTATGTAATCAGTGTGGTAAAGCCTTTATAAGTCGCCATAAGCTTCAAATACATGAAAATACTCATACAGGAGTGAAACCTTATGAATGTAATCAGTGTGATAAAGCCTTTGCACAATTCATTCATCTTCAAAACCATTTCAGACACCATACTGGAGAGAAACCCTATGAATGTAGTCAGTGTGGTAAAGCCTTTGCAAATTGCGGTTCTCTTAAAACACATGAAAGGATTCATACCGGAGACCAACCCTATAAATGTAATCAATGTGATAAAGCCTTTCCACATTTCAGTCGTCTTCAAAATCATTATAAAATCCACACTGGAGAGAAACCCTATAAATGCAGTCAGTGTGATAAACCCTTTGCAAGTCGCAATTATCTTAAAATACATGAAAGAATTCATACTGGAGAAAAGCCCTATATATGTGATCAGTGTGGTAAAGCCTTTGCACATTCCAATAGTCTTCGAATTCATGTAAAAAATCATACTGAAGAGAAGCCCTATGAATGTAATCAATGTGGTGAAGCCTTTATAAGTCATCGTAGTCTTCAAATACATCGAAGAACTCATGCAGCAGTGAAACCTTACAAATGTAATCAATGTGGTAAAGCCTTTACAAGACACAGAAACTTTGAAAAACATGAAAGGAGTCATACTGGCGGAAAACACTATATATAATTGCTGCACTGAAACTTTGAAGTTCAATGTAATCTTCAGACACATCAAAAAGGTAATAGTAATAAAAAATCCTATGGTGCAGGAGAATTGTCTGTATTCTGTCAATCATGTTTTAAATAAACGCTGATTGGCCAGGCAGGAGGTGTAGGTGGGAAAAACAGACAAGAAGTGGAAATGATGCAAGGAGAGCAGGAGAATTCTGGGGAGGAGGAAGTTGATTCCTTCCACTCCTGCCCAGATCACCGAAGCAGCAGGATGTGAGCTGCCCCACTGAAAAAGATACTGAGCCACATGGGTTAATCAAGATGTGAGAGTTAGCCAGTAAGAAGCCTGACCTAACGGGCCAATCAGCTTTATAACTTACGAAGTCCTTTGTGTGATTTTTCTCTGGGACTAAACAATTGTGGGGACCTGGTGGGAGGACAGAAAAACCCCCAAACAAGCCAGCCCCCTGTGTGTACACTTAAAAGTGCTTTTCACTCGTGTTAAAAGAAATCTGTCAAATACATAAATCCATTCCTCTGGACAGGGCGTTAATGCTTTTAATCTAGAATCATTTTTGGGTCCCCAAGCTTTTATTATGTCTCAAAGGCATGAGTCTACTGCCTTTTCTACAATGTGGATTTGAGTTACAGATTACAAACAGTGGTAATGCTAACATATCTAAAATGTTTCTATCTTTTTTGTAAACTTAAAAAATTCTTGTAAACTTTAGGGTGTTGACTTGGATCCACCTTTGGCAGGTCAAATGAACTCCAGATAAGATTAGTTCCATCGCCTGCCTATTCCCGAGGGTAGAATCTCTCCCTTTCCCTCTTCCCTAGTGTTGGGACTCCCCTCCCCCAAATACCAGGAAGTTTCAAATATATACTCTGGATAAAAACTTTCCCCTAAATTCCTTAACTTTACCTTCTGTCCCTAGTCTGTCTCTCCCAGCAGATTTAAAATAATCTGCAAACAGCACCAGCAACTTGCCAGCCCCAGGTGTTCCCTAAGAATCAGCATCCCAGATAGTTGAAGAGTAGCTAGCCCCAGGTGGTCCAGCCTCACAGACTTCTTCAATGGGGCCTGCACTTCCCCAGCCCCAGATGGTCTCACAGAACCTGGACAGTAAGTACAATAACCTGTTCTTACTGGGCATGGCCAGCGTTCCAGCTTTTGTAGGTCCCGAAGAACAACACCCCAACACCACAAAATTGGGTGTTCACAGAGCAATAGAAATTCATTCAATGCATCAATGACAAAGCAGCAGGGACTCTCTTTCCTTCCAGACGATAGAAGGTAGGAGGAGCAATGAGGCACCTTCACCTTCTGCACTATAAGTACGTATTTCTGAGCTGAAGAGTTAACTAAGTAGTATTGCTGCTGTTAGGGGCCTGTCTTATTATGGGTTTCTGTTGCTGTGAACAGACACCATGACCACAGTGACATTTATTTGGGGCTAGCTTACAGTTCCGAGGTCTAGCTCATTATCATCATGATACAGCATGGAGGTGTACAGGCAGACATGGTGCTGTAGCCAAGACAAGAAGTAAACAGACCCTGGGTGTGACTTAAGCACGTTTGAGACATCAAAGCCCACACCCACAGCAACACACTTGCTCCAACAAAGCCACACCTCCTAATAGTGCCATACAGAACCCATCTTTGGTTCCTAGCACTTGTGTCGGATGACTAAGAACTACCTGTAATGCCAGCTCTGGAAGAGATGGTGCACTTTTCTTGCTTCCTTGGGCACCAGCTGAACAAATGTGCAAAGATATATTTACATATATGTATATACATATATATACCTAAATTAAATTTTTCTGATTTTCTGAAAAACTAACATATACATGAAGAAAGCTCATTTTACAATACAGACCTGTGTGTGAGTGTGTGTGTCTGCATTTTGTAAAAGGGGCTTTCTTCATATATGTTTTTTTTAATTTATTTATTTTTACATACATTGGTATTTTGCCTACATGTATCTCTGTGTGAGGGTGTCAGACCTTGGAGTTATAGACAGTTGTTAGCTGCCATGTGGGTGCTAGAAATTGAACCCAGGTCCTCTGGAAGAACAGTCAGGGCTCTTAACCACTGAACCATCTCTCCAGCCCCATGTATATATTTTTATAAGTTAAAATTGCTCTTGGGTGTGTTGGTGGAACAAGGCTCATGGAGGGAGTCATGTGAGGAATGCTGAGTGCTTGCAAGAACTCCAAGAAAACAGGACAAGAGGCTTGTGACCTACATTTCTTCAAAACAGAGAATTTTTATTGAACTGTGTTTTCATATTTCTCTCAAGTGCAGCAGGCAGGAGTGAGTGTATTTCAGAGTTCTCATTGCTTGCTGTTGTTATTCGATTAAATGTTTAAACTATCCTTTACATGCCTGTATGGGAAAGCATGGTTTTGCCACTTGTGACTTGTCCTTGCGATTGTATGCAGTTGAACTCAGGAGAAAATTACTCATGTGACCTTTCTTGACCCTCAGAGTAAAAATTGTCCCGGGCTCTGAATAAAGTTGGCTAATGAATGTGACTTTGGTCTGCCTCATTTATCAGCTCCGTTATACCAGGTCTCACCACATGTAGATTGGTGCCAAGTGGCACATGGAACAGGGACCCAAAGTTGTGTATGAACTTAGGACCCTGACACAGGAAGTGACTGAGGATAATGGGGCAGAAGCCATGGAAGGCTGGTGCGGGAGAATTGTCTGTATTCTGTCAGTCATGAAGCAGGAGCCCCGAAGGACCATCTCACCTTCAGGCAAGTTCAGCAGTCATTTCTCTGTGAGTTCTGCATGTCCAGTGAAGCGGTCCAGACAAGAGCAGTTTCTTGCCCAAATGGCTAAGGAGCCTCTTTGATGCCCATCTTCCGCTTGAAGTAGCTTGGTGCTGCCAGGAGCAGATGTGTCTCACTGTCATGAAAAGTCCTAACTTCTTCAAACATTTTAAATGCTCTTCATAAGAATGGCCACCTAGAACCCCTCCTTTTCTCCCTGGATTTATCCTGCTTTTGTAATTAAAAAGAAATCTGGTAAATGGGGATTGTTTGTCGACTTATGGAATGTCAGTGCCGCCGTGTGGCCAAAGGAAGCTTTACAGCCTTGTTTACCTAAGCCCAAAGTGATTCCTGAAGATTGGCCTTTAATACTTTTGGATTTTAAAAGTTGCTTTTATTCTATAAATATTCAGGCTGATATATTTTGCCTTTTTCGTTCCTTCACATAAAAATTTCACCTGCCAGCTTGCAGCCCTGTGTTGGCTCCACCGCATTTTGTGCTCTGGTCCAGCCCCCACTGAATGTTTGTATGCTGTACCCACGCACCCCTCTCCCCCACACATCCTGGCTTCACCCACTTTAATGATTGCCCTGCTCCCACCCAGTCTCTGCCCTTCCCCACACCTCTACCTCCAGCCAAGTCGCTATTACTGACGTAGCCTCTGGTCCCGCCTCCAGTCTCTGACACCAGCCTATCCATCTTTATTGCTCTGCCCCCATGGCATATACATAATCCAGACTCTGTGCATTTTCCATCTTTATATGGCCCATTACAATTTTCTATTATATTTTTTCCTTAAGAACCTCAGTTTGGCCTCACTATCTGTAATCTTTTCTGACCAGGAGCTTTTTTTTAATGCTAAGCCTAGGACGAACACTGACTTTGGCTGTTGGCTCTGCCCCATCCAACAAGGCAGAGCACATTTACCCAGCTCTGTGAGCCATGCTCACCATCCCTGCTCCAATGATGCAGCAGATTTAGGTCACTGTTAAGCAACTTGTAGCACTCCGCTCACAAGCCCCATTTAAGTGCTCTGCTGCAGGACTACAGCTGCCAACGTGAACAAGGAAGCTGTCTCTTAAGAAGCCACCCTCCGCTTGCCACCAGCAACAGGACCTCTCTGAAAAAATGCAGCTGCCAAGAAGCTCCAACTGACCCCCGTTTTTGTGGATCCAAAAGTCCCCCCCTTTTTTTAGCTTTCTTAGGTTTTATGGATGTGATTGCCGAATGTTGGGAGTCATTATGTAGCATGAATAATAAAAGCCCAGAGACAGGTATTGGGGTTCAACCTTAAGATAAGAAAAGCAAAGCAGCCAAGCCACTAGAGAGTTCTTAACTCCAAGAAATTCTCAGACTGAAAGAGAACAAGTTCCTCACAAATTATTTCAAGTACTATTAGTTACATTATCATATTGATCAGAAAAATCTAAAGAAGAGCTTGAAAAGAGGTTGGTAGTTCTGGTATCTCACAGAACATAAACCTATACTTGCCTTTAATAGGAATAGGAATGTTATGATATCCTATGGAAATGGGAAGAGAAAACATAGTCATGTCTTCAGATGGGTGGGCTGGGTCTATTAGGGTCCCAAGGTCCAGTCATAAACAGAGTCATTAGTATTGACAACGGGAGCTGGATCCACCCAATGGCAAGTTGAGGCAAAGAAGAATGAGCAACATTAGACCATTCCAGGTACTCAGTGGCACTCATTGCAGATGCACAGGTCAAGGTAGCTGACACAGCCAGACTGACATACTCGGGTGAATTAGAATTCCGTATGCTTCATAAACTATCTTCTCCCTTGGCTCATAGAGCCCTAACTTGGGCCTCTGTGTGCAGACTAGATTTGTGATGATGTGGGCAACATCTCCTTCTGCCCTTTAACGAGAGGGTTGCTCTCTTTCTTGTGACGGCCATGGTCTCCTTACCCTGCACAGGCGTCATTGATGGCCAGGAACTGGAGGAGCCAAAGAGAAATCCACGCTGTTTGAGTGGATCTATCTGCAGTGACAGATGCACCCCCATCCCAATTTTCATCAGCTGGTGGGGTGTCTTCCAAATCATAAACTGTTAAAGCTGCATAGGCCTATCTAAAGGCAGTTCAGAAAACTCTACAGAGAAATGCTTGTGAACTTTAGAGCATATATCACCCATGGGCAAAATCTGAATGATTAAGAGTAAATAAGGAAAATACCCCTTGGTTTGTTTTTTTATTATTTTTTTTTATAAAAGTTTATTAATTTATACTTTTTCTTAGTTTTCTTGGGTATCTTTGAGGGATTTATTAATTTTCAACTTTTTGTTTGTCTTCTCTTCCATTTCTTTAAGGGAATTTTTTACTTCCTGTTTAAGGGTCTCCATCATTTTCATAAGGTTACATTAAAGTCAATTTCTTCTACTTCTTCTGGGTTAGGGTGTTCAAGTCTTCCTGTTGTATGTTTGTTGGATTCTGGTGTTATCATGTTGCTTTTTAGGATGTTGGAGAAATTCTTGCATTGGTGCCTGCCCATCTCTTCCTTCAAATGCGGCCAGCAGAGCCTTGGTGTCTTGGTCTGATCTTTGCTGTGGCTGTGTACTTGGGGGGTTTTCTTGGTCTGCCCTCTCTTAGATCCCCTCAGCACTGATGCAGGCTGTGTTGGGGGAATCCAAGGACCTCCAAGATGAAAAGGCGGGCTTGGGGGCAGGGTGGAATGAGGGTAATGAAAGCCAGCAGCAGGAAACACACCCCGCTGGATGGCCAGAAAAACTTGGGGTTTTGGAGGGATCTGGATTCAGCCCCCCAGGACTTCCCCAGAGAGCGGCACTTCAGGCTACCCGGCCATGTGGCTACTTACTCACCTGTCCGGATCCCCTCAGCACAGGAGCAGGGTTCTAAGGGCCTCACTACAGGCAGGGTGGGATGGTAGAAAGAAGTCCCAGCGGCAGGAACACTTCTCACTGGCTCTCTGGACCCTCAGCCCTGAAGCAGGCTGTGTTAGGGATCCAAGGACCTCGCAGATGAAAAGGCCACAGTCATTGATTTTTGACAAACTTAATGACTTCTCTGAACAACGAAAGAATTTATTGAGTCATGTGCCTTCAATAATAGCTAGGTATCAAAGGAAGCTCGTAACACTCCAAAATCCTTAAAATTCAAAGATTCATGTGAATTTTCATCAGCCTACAGAGCCAATCTTGGGAAATACACAAAAGAACAGACTGCAGAAGCTAGACAAACCACTGCCAATGCACATCCTAGACACTGTTGCAGGGGATCTGATGCCTCCTTCTGCCTTCTGTGGGCACCAAACACACACGTGATGAGCATACACATATGCAAGCATCACTCATACACATTAAATAAATTTAGTAAATTAAAAACACTATCTCCCAGCCAGGTTGTCTTGGAGCACACCTTTAATCCCAGCACTCGGGAGGAAGAGGCAGGGGGATCTCTGTGAGTTCGATGGCAACCTGGTCTACACAGTGAGTTCCAGGACAGCCAGGACTACACAGAGAAACCCTGTCTCAAAAAAAAAAAAAAAAAAAAAAAAAAAGGAAGAGGGAGGAAAGAAGGAAGGAAGAAGGAAAACCCTACCCTAATATCTGTCACCACAGATTAAACAACCACAAATACACAGAAATGTGACAAATACCTGCAGCCAAACGTCTAACAGCTGTTGCTATCAGCAACAGGAAACTGATGAAGCGGGTCATCGTGAATGGAAAAGGGGTCCGCACGAGACTGAATAAAAGCCACACTGCTATCGTGTGGCTTCCGATCTGCGCACACAACTGCAGTAAAATCTGTGCTGTCTGAACAAGAACAAAGAGATCAATAGCAGCTAAGAGAAAACTTAGAAGGAAAGTCACAATTAGTATAGTAAATTTTGACACGAGGCCAGGTAATCCTGTAAGTCTGGCCTTACTGACACACGTGACTGGACCACCCTGGCATCTCCATGCAGATGTGTTCATGACACAGACTTTACGCCCTGCACAGAATTAAGTGCAGACAGATCCTACACCTGAATGTTCAGTGCCAAGTGCAGAACTTCTAGAAGACGCTAGAGAAACAAGGGCTCTGCAAGCTGGCGAGTCTGCCTTCCCAAGCAATGATAAGAGCGACGCATGTGCTCCCTGCAGGAGGATGAGACCAGTTTCCATGCACCAGCTACAGCTTCCCATGTTGTTTGCTACTGCAGTCTCAGGATGACGTCATTCAAAGGACGTCCGGGCTGGGGCGTTGCAGGGACCTCACGGGGCGCCGCGTCCAGTCGCGGGTTCCCACAGCCCCGGGAGGACCCACACCAGATCCACCCCACGTGGGGATGGCGGCCCTCGCTCACCATGGCGCATTCTGCTCGCCCCGCTCTCCCCACAGCTCCTGGCAGCGGGTCAAAGGGCAGAACACGGAACACGACAGTGTGTCTCAGATCCGGGGCCGCAGAGGCCGCTGCGTGGCGACAGAAGTACCCACCCATTGTGACTGACAGTCCGCTTGGGAGCTCTGACTGGCTAGTGTGATCTGAGTGACAAGAGCAGCTCCCTTAGGGACCTAGTGCTGTGAAGCGGCTCAGCACAGTGGTTCCCAGCCCTGGCTGCCACCGAGGCACAGAACTGTCCCAGACCTGCAGGCGCTGGCATTGCAGCAGAACTTGGGCCTGGAGTGCAAAATCATCACTGCACCTTTCCTGCACGCAGCAGTCCCTTCCCGATCTTCCTCCTGCATCTCCAGCATACATAGATCATTAAACCATGTGCAGCAAGGGCTCCCTCTGCCTCACAGCTGAAATGATGCCCAGCTCATCCAGGTCAAACTTACACCACCTGACTGACAGTCACCAGGCATCTGCAATTTCAGTAAGGCACACTAGGAGTCTCAGCTGCACACTGTTGGATGCGGGGCGCCATCCTGTCCAGCAGGAATGAACCCCACCAAAAACGA